TTTTTTTTTTCTTTTTAAATGTGCTGTGTAAAGTTAGTCTACTCTGAAGCCATCTTGGTAAACTTCCCCAACAGTGTGAAGTTAGAATTCCTTCAGGGTGGTGCCAAGTTCCATTTGGAATTTATTTATAATTGCTTGGGTGGAGAAGCCATTGTCTTCAAAAAACCTTGGTGTAGTTAAACTGCCAGTTACTGTTGTGACTTTAATGAGTTTTACCATTAAAAGGGTCATCCAAGCAAAGTCACAGTTTGGTTACAATAAATGGTTGTTGGCACACCCTATGCAATATCAAAATTGAATAATGGTATCAGAAAAAATAACAGATGGGAATGAAGCTTGTGTATCATCCATTATCATGTGTAAATCAATAAACGATTTAATTCTCTTGAATGGATTGACAACTGTATGGATTTGGGACTGGCAGAGATTTGGACTTTTCCCTACCCACTACCCCTGGTAAATGTTGATTGTTTGTTATCACAGTGCAAGTTCAGAGCTCTGCCAGAGTAGAGACCAACTGCTGGTTTATGCCACCCATAAGTCCACAGATTAGAGTGTTGGGGCATCTTAAAAGTGGTTATATATAGTAAGGACTCTTAATTGCTATAAGAGCAGGCTATAGTGAAGGAAAACTGCAGTTTAACAGGGTCATGGGTGGGTGTGCCTCAGGGTTTTCTAGAAATAATTGAGTTAATTAAAAATTCAAATTAGAAATATAATTGACTATTTCTGTAACAGCAGTTTTGTATTAACAGCAGTTTTCCTTCACACTGTTATCCTGAAGTGTTTTCTATTTGTATAGAAAATGAATTCAAAATAGTTATTATCCAATAATTGTTATTTGTGCATAGATGCTTTTGAGCTTCCCATTTGGTGCCCTCTTAAGTGCCATTGTACCTGGTAGCATAGATGATTTGTTTGCCATAGGACTTGTATATTCCATCTCATGGTGTATTGCTTGGAAGTTTTGGTGGGGGGAAGGGAGGGGGAGTGGCAGGGTGGGGGTGGGGAGTGTGGATGGTAGTTCCATGATACTGGCTGAGTTTGCAATAGCAGGTGGAACCTTAACTATTGAGGGAGTTTGCAGAGACCTCAGGAATCGGGACAATGCCTTTAAAGATCCAGGAGATGTTCAGCTACTAGGAACTGCTAGCAAGCATAGCGCGAATGGCTTCGAGCTCAGAAACTCTGCAGCTGAGAGTAGACACTTGTGGTATGTGGAGTACAGATAAGCCAGGGGCAGGCCACGGCAGCACCTCCATGAAAGCTAGGAGGGAGTGAAGTTTCAGTGACCATCGCAAGAAAGGAGGCAGACGAGAGTAAGGCACACACCTGACTCTTAGGACTAGCAGGCAGAACCAGAAGGAAAGGTTTTATTGCTATGCTAGTAGGTAAGAACAGATTTTACTTACATCCATATAGTTATCAAGTCCAATTCTCTGTTGGATTTTTTTTCTTAATATATTGAGCCAAAACTAGTCCAGTTAAGCTGCACTTGGTTTTTCTGGAGATAAATTGTTTTAATTAATGCCCATATTATTCCTACTTGAAGGAAGTTAACACATTTCTATTGTGAAGATACATTTTGCCCTTTAATTTTACGTAACCTTCCTTTGACCCATTTTCTTAAAGCAATGGCTCAAAGTAATATATTAGACACCTTTCCCCAAAATGGTGGGAGGATGGGTGGATCATTAACGGGAGGAGGGTGGGAATAGCTTAAAAGATGGGAATTAACTTCACAAAAGACTAGTTCTAAAGGTTGTTTACTTTTCTAGGGAGGAATCTGCTACAAGGCTTAACAGCTGTTGTAAAATTTAAAACAAAAACTTCAAGTTCTTGGCTAAAAGGTAAGTTTTTATGGTTGGTGATTTGCTATCTAAAAGTTAAAAGGCGCAAGCTGCAGTTAAAAACCAAGCGATAGCTGGTTATTTTTGTAGCTGGCAGTTAGTAGGACAACAGAATGTAACCAGGGGTGGGTAGGTAAAATTGTATAATCCACAACTGTCAATATAAAACTACATGACTTTTTTTTCTCCTTTGCAGGAACATCCTTATGAGAGCAGCCTTTATTCTGGGCCACTGTACTTCATTCTCACTGCCATGCAGTTGGGTTTTAACATGCTGCTAAAATCATTCAGTTTTGTGAATGGCTTAGTTTGGTTTTTTAAAATAAACTATAGTTAATTAACTTCTGTTGTCTCTTTCTGGGATTTATGGCAGGTGACTTGGTTCTGTATTCTATGCAAATTCCAAATTTGAGTTTGGGGAATATGGGACTTTTTAGCATACAAATCTGAGTCATTTCTGACCAGAGTTTCTTTGACCCTTGAGTTAATATTTTGGATGCATGTGTATTAATGCATTGTGAGTTAATTTTAGGGAAGTAAACTGGTCATAGAATGTCCCTGAGAACCTAGCAAGGATAAACTGACCATCTCTATAGGGTAGGGGTGGGGTGCAAACCTGTTGCATGTTTGGGTTCTGATGTGAGAAACCTAAAACTTGATGGGGAATTTAGAGATAGTTGTGAGGGTTAAGTGTTCCAGAGATGATGGAACTGGGTAGTGCACACCACTCCCAGTTTAGGAATGTCCAGCCCAGATGAGGCTATGAGACCCTTATATAAAATTTTTATTTTCTTGGTGGAAGGCACTTAAATGTGCCCTTGGCTAACCTGAAATCATATATACAGATAATTATAGATACATGTAGAAATATGAAGTAATCCCTTACCTCTTAGTGCTGGGAATACAGGCTTGGGCCACTACACATTCATACTGCTTTTTGTGAGTTTACATAGAAGGAAAAACATTGCTAGGCCAAAAGCTGACCAAAAATCCCAGATTAGCAAGCTCAGTTAAGATCTACAGGCATGAAGTAGATAGGTCTACTAGTTTTTCCTGTGAGGAAAAAGGCAGTAAATGGGCAAGCTGAAAATAAAATGAAATAAAAGAAAATGAAAATTAAAAGCTATGACTTGGGAAACAGCCAAGGAAATTGGGTGCTGATAGGGAGGTAGGATAGGGAGGCAAGAGGATGCTTGGACTTCTAAATGAGTGTAAGGCCAACCTAGTTTTCTAAGAAGTGTATCCTTGGCTGTCCTAGGATCTCTTTGCCTTTTCCTCTAGAACACAGTTGTATTTCCAAATGAAAGAAAAGACATAGTTTGAGTTGGGTTGGCATACAGATTAGGAGCTCAAGGTCATTTTCCACTACACAAGTGTAAGGCCAGCCTGTTATGTGGGACCCTGCCTATGTGAGAATAACAGGACAGGGTTTCAGTTCCCAGCACTCTAAACTCCTTCAAGGGAACACCTTCTGACCTCATAGGCTCCTACATGATTATGGTACGTACGTTGATTGAATCATACACAAAATGTTTAAAAAAGGTGGGCTGGGTATGGTGGTACACACTTAATCCCACACTTTGGAGACGGGCAAATGGAACTTTATGAATTGGTGGCTGACATGCCTACATATTAAGACCTTGTCTCCAATCTAGAAGGGTAGAAACAGTAGCCGCCGTGCCCCCCCCCCCCCAGCATGACTTGGATAGCATTTCTCTCAAAACCAGGGAGAGCTGGGTTGTAGCCCCATTGCTTGCTTAGCATTCTAGAGGCTCTAGGCTCAGTTTAAAAAGAGTACACACTTCAATGTAGAGTAATCTCATTCCAGTCAAGAACAGTCCCTTGGTCTTCCGGTCTCTGTCTGGCCTATCAGACCCAGGGTGAGGTAAGCAGGAGAGAACTAAAGGCGCTTGTGTTCGTTTGTGCTCTAGAGGCTGAGCAGACTTTACACGAGGATGCAGCCCTCTGACAGCTCCTGTCATTTATGAACTGGGGGCCACCAAAGACTGTGGGGTTCCTCAAGCATCTGTGCCTTCTGACTGGAAGGGGATGTGAAGGTGGATAGATTGTCCACGTTGCTCATTCCCCAATTTTTATGTGTACTTAAAATGAGCTCAGGATTTCCCTTCAACAAGCAGTGATTTCTGAGATAGCTCCATCACGCTCAAGAAGGAAGACACAATGGAAAGCTTATTTCCACACAGCTCTTTATGGACCAAAGCTTAGACAAGAGGTGGAGGCTTGGGGCCTGGGAAGCCAGCACTCACCTGGCCTCCAGGTGAACCTCACTGAACACACCTTGGAAGGACCAAATGCTAAGGTTGCATCTACCCTCTTTTGGTCTGGAGAACTCGGTGCCTTGTGAGTCCTGGGGTTGGGGAGTACCTTTATCAGAAGAGAATGAGGAGAGGCCCTAGTACCATTGTTGGTCTCTAGGCCAGCTCACTCTGTGGCCTCCATCTTGGTCCCACGGGGTACCAGAAAGATGGTCCCATCAGCAGCCTGTTGCAGTACATATTCCTCCGGTGAATAACTGTTGCCAGATTCATCCCGAAGATGCTGGAAAATGTCATGGTACAGCTCTGCCAGCTGTTGGCGCATGACCTCCAGAGTGCGGTCCGCTTCACCTCGGGCTCTGAGAAGCCGCTCTCTTTCACTGCCCAGGCGCTCCAGCTCCTGCTCCAGCTGCACAATGGTTTCCAGTTTTCTCTTGCGACAATTCTGGGCTGCCACCTTGTTCTTGCCCCGCCGTCGGATGTCCCGGACTAGAGCCAGCTGGCTCTCTGTTAGAGGGTACTGCGCCAGCAGCTCATTAAAGTCATCCACAGGCAAATTGACGATCTTGTCCGTAGGGAAGGGAATCTTCATGGCTAGAGCCCGCCGCTCATCACGACTCCCCGCCTCCCCCCTGACAGCATGTTTAGCCCGCACAGGGCCAGAGGATGCCTCTACAGCCAAGGGTGTCTCAGTGGGCGGCAAAGTATAGTTGGGGTGGGCCAAGGAGTTGGGCATATGGGAGTAAGGGTACTCCACAGGGTACATGTCCACATACTCGCTCCTCCGCCTGCCGGCCTCTGCACCCTCTAGCTCAAGAGATTCCGCATCACTGTAATTGAGGGATAATCCTGAGTCGGACTCTGGGTCTTCTTGGGGCTTGGGTGGCCCCACTGGCAGCCCAATGTCCAGAAGAGCTAAGGGATCTGGGAGGGGCTCATTGAGCAGACCTGAGAGGGTGAGTGGCTTTGCCGCTGGTATAGCCATGTTGCCATAGGAGTACGAGAGGTCTGGGACATGAGCAGTGGGTGCGGAGAGCTCATAAGGTGGTAGTGGCAGGGAGAAGCCTGCATCTGGGTGAACTGAACAGGGGCAGTATGTTGGAGGAGGCAATGGTCCAGGGTATGGGGTGGGAACTTGGGGCTCAAAGGATGGCTCACTCGGAACATTTAGACCCTGCAAAGAAAGACACAAAAAAGGTTAGAAGATAGACTATCATGGGTGGTAGTGGCACACGCCCTTAATCCCACCTCTCAGGAGGCAGAGGCAGGCCAATATCCCAAGTTCCAGGATAGCATGGTCTACAAAGCAAGTTCTGGAACAGCAAGGACTACACAGAGAAACCCTGTCTTGAAAAACAAAAGGCAGTGGAAGCTTCTTGCATAGTGTTAATCAAGTTGTTTCAAGAATAAAGCAGCTTGCTGGCATGGTGGCACCGGCTTACAATACCAGCATTCGAGATGTGGAAACAGGAGGGTCAGGAGTTTAAGGTCAGTCTTGGCTACATAGCAAGTACAAGGCCAGCCAGCGCTGTGTAAGACCCTGCGGTAAAAAAAAAAATTAATTAATTAAAAAAAAAAAAGGCGCTGAAGAGTTGGCTCAGCGGTTAAGAGCAGTACCTACTCTTCCAGAGGACCTGGGTTGAATTCCCAGCACCCACATGGCAGCTCATGTCTGTAACTCCAGTTTCAGGGGATCCAACACATTCACACAGACACGCATGCACGCAAAAACAGGAATACACATGAAATAATAAAATCAAGAGGCCCTTAATCCAAGCACATAGGGGATAGGGGCAGGTGTATCTCTCTGAGTTCAAGGCCATCCTGGTATACATAGCAAACTCCAGGGCTACATAGTGAGTCCCTGTCTGGGAAAAAGAAAGAAAGAAGCTGGGCATGGTAGCACACATCTTTAATCATAGCACTGGGGAGGCAGAGGGAGCCAAGATCTCTGAGTTCAAGGCCACCCTGCTCTACAGAGTGAGTTCCAGGACAGCCAGGGGTACACAGAGAAACCCTGTCTCAAAAACAACAACAACAACAACAACAGAAAAACAATGGGAAAAAAAAACAAAAAGAAAAGAAAAAAGTAGGGAGGAGGAAGAAGAGCAGTTTAAGCAGGAATAAAAGTCCCCGTGGTGAGACCTCAGAGAAGAACCTCACATTGAAGTGGTTACAGTCTCCTCTTCAGAAGAAGTTCTTACTGGGCCACATAACTCCTGGTCCTTTACTCTCTTTAGGAAGACAAGGCTATATTATCCTAGATGGAGAGATGGATCCTCAGAACCCTTTTCCTGCTGTGGTTATCTAGGGTCAAAAGGTCAAGTTCAGGACCTCGCCATTCCCTGTGTGCCCAGCAGAGGGAGCTGGTATGTGGAAAGAGGGTCTAGGGCAGATCCTGAGGACACCAGGAGGCCTGAGGTGGGGTAGGCACAGAGCCCAGGCAGGGGGTTAGCCCTCTGTCCAGGCCCAGGTGCAGTGAAGAGGAGAACACATGTTACAAACAAGGCCCCCAACTTACGTAGGAGAGCTATCCTGCTCAAGCCCAGCTGAGGACAAAGGTGTCATTGTTAGACCAACAGACACCCCTTTGTCCAACATTCGGGAGGAGAGGACCCCGGCATAGTCTCGCTCCCCTCTCTGAGGCCCTTTAACTAAGTCTCTGCTACCTGGAGGAAAGGAGCTCTCTGCTAAGGGTGCGGGGTGGTAATGAGGGAAGATGGGCAGTGCTGGAAGAGAGGAAGATCAGATGAGAAGAAAATAAAAAAAGAGGGGCAAAGAGGAGAGAGGGTGGTAGAAATGTGAGCAGAGCCGCTGGACAGAAGCCCACACCGCAAGCCAGATCCTCCCCTCTCCCCTGCCCTGCCCCCACTCCATGTTCCACATTGCCCCCCTCTGCTCTCTGTTTCTGGCCAGGCCAGAGCCCCTACCTCCGCAGCGCCTGCCCCATACTCACCTGCAGCTCAGTAATGGACATGATCTCTTGCCAAGTCAATTCCATCTCGCCCGGCTCCCCAATAGGCAGCTGTGACAACCGGTTCCTGTTCTGCTGAGGAGGACACGGGGGCATCCTACTGTGCCAGCTGCTGGCCCTGGTTCCCCCAAAGCTCAAAGGGCTCCAGCAACCTGTGTGGAAGGAAGGAAGAGTTAGAGCTACTTCTGCCAAGTCAAAAGTTTATCCTGTCCCTGTGCAGGATCCCCAGAAGAAAGGGCCGGTGTCAGTGGTTCACTCATGCCAGGACCCTAGGAACTGCAAAGTTCTTTTCTGTGGAGTACTCTACCTCACCTGCTCTGGCCATAGTCAGTCCTCTGGGCACACAGTAGGCATCTTTACTTTTTCTCAGACAAGATGTCTTCTCTTACTCTCTAAAAATGGTATTCCTGTCAGTGGCAAAATCCAGTCTTCTGAGTTTTTGAGATTGAGGTTTTGTTTTCCATTCTGGGGGAAACATCAAGAGTCACCCATGTCTTCCTCTTGCGTCCTCAGTTTCGTTGTTTGAAACAGGGTCTTACTATGTAACCCTGGCTGTCCTGGAACTTGCTCTGTAGTCCAGGCTGGCCTCTAACTCACAGGGATCTGCCTGCCTCTGCCTCCCAAGTGCTGGAATTAGAAGCATGTGCCACCATGCCCAGCATTTCAGCCCTTTCCTTTCCTTCCAAGATGTGAGTGCTTGGGGATCCCCAAGGAGTGTGTTGTGGGAAGTGCAGACAGACAGCCCCTCCCCTGTCTTAGATAGGGCCCAGGCCTGCTGGTGATAGCAGCCCTGCCCTCTACTCCCATCCTTACTCTGGGCTCCTCTGCCTGGGCCAGATAAGAGGTTTATCAGCTTCAGGCAGCAGAAGCAGAGGAGGAATGGGCTCCAGGAGACACTGGACCTCTACCCTGTATCCCAACAGGTCATTTGGCCATGCCCCACCCCACATGATCATGGCTCCTTTCTCTTCCAAGGTCAACACACAGCCAAGACTTAGCAAGCATTTGTCAAGAATTGTGCTGGCATTTTATAAGCATGGCATATCAGACTGGGCTTCACAAAGACCTTTTAAGGGGTAGGAGGCAGACACTGAGGCCCAAGCTGGTAGGTGGCAGGTTGAAACCTGACCATATCCCTTGCTGCTTTCTAGGCCCCTTTGGTTCCCTAGGTATGGGCTGTCCACAACCCACACCTCTATAGGCAGTCTACCTTAGCAAGTTCCCATGATGTCTCATGCCCTTTTCTCTTCTGGGAAATATCTTTTGGGGCCCTCAAGTACTGCCAATCCTTCAGCCCCTCTTCTTTTAATCTGGGCTCTAGCTTGAGTTCTGCCACAAAGCAGCAGTCTGGTAGCTGGACAAGCCATCTCACTGCTCCTTGTCAGTTCTCCCAGTTGTAAAGCCAAGGAGTTAAACAACTTGAACTGGAAGAATTCCTTGCTGCTTGGACAGTTCTCTGCAAACTCTTAGCCTTGCTTTCATTATCTCCTCTTGGTCCGTCCCTCTCTTCATCCTACCTCCGTATTCCCCATACCCATTTCTATCTGAATCTGCTCTCTCTGTGTCTAACAATAGATTCCAAGTAGACTTGGCAAGGTTCTCCTGATCTCTCAGGGCCAGACACAGCACAGCATGTACATGCATGCACATCCACACTACACACCATATAAATAAAGGAAATCTTACAGAAGAACAGAGGATGGGGCTGGATGACCTAAAGTTGTGTTGCATGACTTTACATCACCCACCAGAAGAATAGCCCATTCCTGCGGTTCATTGTGGAATCCTCTCTTGGACCTACCACAAAATGTATAGTCACTACCTTTTTGGGGGGTAGGGGGGTTTCGAGACAGGGTTTCTCTGTGAAACAGTTCTGGCTGTCCTGGAACTCACTCTGCAGACCAGGCTGGCCTCAAACTCATAGATCTGCCTGCCTCTGCCTCCTGAGTGCTGGGATTAAAGGAGTGCACCACCACCACCACCACCACCACCACCTGGCTCCAAGTGTTCTTTTTACAGCTGGTCTGCCTGAGGCCTAGCCTCCACCCTCTTGCTATAATGCCATCCCCAGAAATGGGAGTTGGTATAGGTACAGGCCTTTGACCAATGGGTAGAATGGGTGGGGTGTTTATGTCTGTCCAGGATGCCATTTCAACACCGGAACTCCACCCTCCCCACCCAGGTTCTGGCGGAAATTGCCCAAAGACAGAGTGAATGGAGAAGGAGTTTGGGGGTGGGCAGGGACTATGACTATTGCCTCTCTTTGTTTTTCCTCTCTTCCTGGGTCTGAATCTGAGGAGCAATACAAAGATCTTGCCCGAGAAGGCAAAGTTCTCTACTCTTCAAGATGCATGACCTTGAACAAATTGCATCATAGTCTCCAATTAAATGAAGACAGGACTAGAGGACCTCACTGCTATGAGAGGGAGCAGACTGCATCTAGTCAGAGCCACAAATCTTACTGTGCACCATATTCACTTGGGGGTACATGGAAAACATCCCTGAAGGCCATCCAGGCCTGCTGAACTGAATTCATGTGCAGGCACTAAGAACAAGTATTTCAACAAATGTCCTAGACATTTTCACACACAGGCCAATCTTGCCTCAAGAAACACAGATATATGAATTTTCAAGAAAGGGAATTACAAAGAAAGGGAACAGCAAATGTTCTATAGTCTTCATCTAACTGCAAACCTTTGACCCCAGGCAAGGCTAGACTCCAGGTGGTGCCTAGCTATCAGTCCTTTCCCATGAAGACCTGGAAGTGGGTCTCCTCCCTCTTCTTAGGATTTAAAAAAAAAAAAAAATGAGAGGGTAGAGGGGCAGGAAGAGGCTGGAGGCTGGGCAGAGGTTCATAAAGGGAACCACTGGACCACCTTTTGTACCAGGCATAGGCCCTTTGGGTCTTGGGAGCCTGCCTTTCAGGGGACCAGCAAGCTTGCAGCCAATAGGACAGACTAGGAGCCAGACATGTTCAAATAGAACACCAAAGAGAGTACTGAAAAGAGACCAGGAATGTGGGCTAGCCTTCCACGGGCCCTTGTCTTTAGCAAAAGCAGCTCTTGTTTTACAGTTTAGCCCTCATCTTCAGTCATATAATCACTGGATCCACTGGGCTAGTTATTCTCTTTAGTACTAAGCACTGTGGATCAGGTAGAATTTGAGCCAACTGCAGAAACTAACCTCCATCCTTCCATCCTTCCTTCCCCTTTCATCCTGGTGGTCCTACCCACTTTTTTCTTCCTCCTCCCTTCCTTCTCCCTCCCTCCCCTCCTCCTTCCCTCTCTCCTGGCCTCTCTCCAGACCAACCCAGAGCCTTGAATATGCCAGGCCAGCACTCTACCACTAAGCTACATCCCTAGAATTCTCCAAAGGTCTTCTCATGATCCCTAGGACTTTATAGAATATGAAGCTTTCTGATTAAGGATACAGGATCATTTGGAGAGGTGAGAGAGGAAGACATTTTACCTTCCATGGCTAACCTGGGACTTTTCACTTCTTTGATAGGGAGGAGCTTGCCCCAGGGTGCTTTATGGAGGCTTATTAGGTAACTCCACCTCTCCTAGTGTCAACACAAATAATGGAAGGATTGGGGAGACATGAGTAAAACTTGGTGTGTAGATTAGCAGGTAAGCAACCTAGTTACAAAGATCAGGGAAAACTTCCCAAGAGGGAGAGGCACAGAGAGGTGAAATCGAGAAACCAATAGAATGAAGAAGGAAGAGAAAAAGATTTGAGCCAGGGAAGCTCAGTCCCCTGGGAGCACACTTGGAAATGCTTGGGAACAAGGAAAAGGGAACAAGTTTCTGCTCTCCTGTGACTTTATCCCTAGAACCCAAACTCCGGTTCTTTGGAAGCAATAAATGGAGGCTGCATCCAGCAGATCTGGTAGCTCTCTTTCTCTCCCACAGCATCTCAACCTCCAGCTACAAGCAACCAAGAAGTCCCACAGAAGCATCTACACTTTGTTAGACACCCTCCTCTTTGCAGGTCCAGCTTAGCGCCACTGCCCCAGGACTGGAGAGGAAGAGAAGCAAGAACAGCTCCTCTCGGCCAACCACCCCGCCTTTGCTGTAGCAAGGTTTCTCCGAAATTCAGATATCCAATATCTATCTACAGTTCCTAAGCTTCCCCCAAATCTCAAATGGCTGGAGCTGCAGAATGCAGTGGGGAAGGGGACATGGTGGCACCATATTACTGGAGCCTACAAGCTCCTCCAGACAACAGGCCAATAGAAGGGTTCCCCCTGGTTACTCCCCTGCTCCTTCAGGGTGCCCCAAGAAAGCACTGTGTGCTCCCCATTCACAACCTCCCACCCCAAGGATCGCAGAACAGCCAGGAAGCCGTCCAAAGTTATCTCCAAAGTATCTCCAAGTAGTATTACTCCAAAGTTATTAGTTTCCTACACCAGGGCCAGTCTTGGAAGATGTCTTAGAAACATCCAGACAGAAAGTTAGGTATTCCTCTTTGTATCTCTTCCACCTGCCCCGCCTGCCCTCCTCAGATGCCACTGAGGGCTCCCTCCCCCTACTCGCCCTTCAGGCACCTGTGGCGGATTCCAAGCCGGGTGAGGAGAGAGATGAGGCTGCTGGTAGTGTCCCTGGGAGGCTGGGTCAGAGCTGACGCCTCCGGGGCGCTGAGCGCTGCCTGTGAGCGCCGCCAAGGGCCGGGCCCCGCCCCCGGGCCATGGCTGGGCAAGGAGCACCGGTTGGCCCGGGTAGAAGCTGGTGCACCGGCGGTCTCTCCGAAGCCCTCGGCCAGAGTTACAGTGCTTCCTCCAACCGTTCCCTTTCCCCGTGGCCCTCCTCTCCTCCTGCCCCTTCTGGCCAAGAGAGGAAACTTGAGCCCGGTGTGGTTTCTGCCTGCACCCCGCCCCCGCCTCTCTAAGGCCACGGGGGCACCCGGGGCTCACAAGCTCTCGGTCCTCTCCAGCTGGTCCAGGACTGTGCGCTCCCTGTGCTGACTTCCCAGCTGATGCTCCACTCACAAGTGACCCCTAAGCTTAAACACAGTCAGCAGCCTCCTCCTTTTCCCAGGTGGTGGCTCTTAGGGACAGATAGGGAAACTGAGTCATAGCAAGGCAGAGGGCCGCAGACAGTGAGGATCAGATGTCTGAGTCCAATTTGCTTAGGGCAACAGCTTCACTTCTAGAAAGCCTGGGCTCTAAGAGCGTTATTTTGAGGGTGAGGGGCCGCCGGCTGCTTAGAGGTCCTCTTCAATGTGTAGCCTTTCTCTCCGCCTCCCTTTCCCCAGCCTTAGATGCTCTAAGACAAAGGCTTCTTTTGTGGACACGTTTATTTATTTATTGCCAAAGTGTATGGGGGTGGGAGGTCCTTAGGTGGGAGGCTGTTGTGTTGGATGATTATTAGTCTCCCTAAAAGAGATCCTTCTTTCTTCCAGGGCAGGACACATGTGTATATTAGATTTGTCCCATATACACAACAGTTCTGTATCAAGCTAGTGTGTCCTCCCAGAAGTCTCTCATCTTTCTGCCTCCAAGTCACAGGCCAAGTAGTTCTCTCTAGAAGGAAAGTCTGCCTTCCTTAGTTTTCAGTTGTTTTGTGATGGGGTCTTTTGAGATGGTGTAGCCAAGGCCAGCCCCAAAACTGGCTTTGTGGCCAAGAATGACTTTGAGCTCCTAACTGTTCTGCCTTCATCTGTGGAATGCTGGAGTTATAGGCATGCTCACTGTGCCCACTTTAGCAACTTTCAGCTCAAAGGAACACGTCTTTTTGGTCTAACTTCAGTTCTGATTGGTGCAGTTTATACTTTTTCTCTATTATTTTCCTCACTGATATTCAAGTTAATTTGGAAACATTTACAGAGCAGAAGCAAGCTGGGTGTTTGACAAAAGATCTATAACCCTAGAACTTAGGAGGTGGAGGAAACAAGATCAGTAGTTCAAGGCCATCCTTAGCTACATAGTGAGTTCCAGGTCTCTCTCTCTCTCCCTCTCTCTCTCTCTCTCTCTCTCTCTCTCTCTCTCTCTCTCTCTCTC